AGTTACACGAATTCAGATATGGAGCTTTAATAAGTTGTACTTACGCACAATCTACTTGTAATCTTGAGTTTTAAGTAATATGCATTAATAAACAGAACTTTAAAAATTAGTTTTTAAGAGTTTTTGTCAAATGCTTTATAATATAGTATAGATTATTTTTTTATATAATTTAATTTAAGTTTAATAATGAAATAATTTATTTTTGGTTTAATAATATAACATTTTATAAAGATAATAATTAAGTATTCTGTTAGAACTCAATGATTATCCTAATTATGTGTTTTTTATATATAAAATGAGATGTTTATCCTATATTTGATTGTGTTTATCTGCAGTTAGTTACACGAATTCAGATATGGAGCTTTAATAAGTTGTACCTATGCACAATTTACTTGTAATCTTGAGTTTTAAGTAATATGCATTAATAAACAGTATTTTACGCATAAAAAGTGGTTTTTAAAAGTTTTTTCCAAATGATTTATAATATAGAATATTTTTTTTATGTATAATTTAATTTAAGTTTAATAATAAAACAATTTATTTTTGGTTTAATATTATAAATTTTATAAAGATAATAATTAAGTATTCTGTTAGAATTTAATGATTATACTAATTATATTTTAGATTTTTTTATATTTAAAATGAAATGTTTATCATGTATTTGATTGTGTTTATCTGCAGTTAGTTACACGAATTCAGATATGGGATGAAATTGTTTAGGGATGAACGAGTTTAATAGTTTTTAAGAGTTTTACCCAAATGTTTTATAAGATAGTATAGAGTTTTAAAAAACCGTTGTTTGTTTGTTGTGTTGAATAAAGTATTTGAAAGATGAAAATGACCATTTTACCCTGTCTAGATTATCAAACATGACGTATAGTAACACATTTCTTTGAAGAATTTCATCAAATATGAAGATAAGGATTTGAACAAGAAGAGTTTGAATCGGAAGGAAACCAAGAAGGAACCCCAGAAGATGAAGAATATATGAGAGAGGAAATCAAAAAGGAAAACCAGAAGATGCATTGGGAACGATCTCCATGTTTCTTCATTTCCGCAACGATGGAGACACAATACAGATGGATAACATATTTGAGAGGGTCACAAAATTACTAGGGGTGTCGATGGAGAATCAGATGTGGAGGTCGATGGAGAAGGTGGTCGATGGGGTTTAATGTGAGTAGTTGGGGGAGAAGGGTAGTTAGGGAAAGTTAATGTAATTTAATGAGAGTGATTGTATAGGATATGGGTTTCCTAGCTGAGTGAATCAGCCATTGGCTGACCGAATAAAGTCCTACCGAACAACTATGAATCAACCATATCTGTTATATGGCTCAAAAAGCTATTACCGAACAACCCCTAAGTAGACAAAGCAAGGTACAATCTTCTTAGCAAATATGTCATCCTCTTATCAATTAATAAGCCACCATCAAGCACCCATATATAGCTTACTGAATAAGCCATACAGATTAAAGCTCCTTAAGCCAATACCAAACAACTCCTCCTCACTCTGTAAGCAAGGAAAAAACTTTTATCCAGTAAACTCTTACCAAGCAAAAGACAGTCACCAATAATTCATTTTAATGATCGAAAATATTACCTGATAAGGTAAGAGGGTGGTGACTCTTACCGGTAAACGTTTATCCGTTACGTGTTTGATAAACGACCCTAAGAAAGATAAAAAGATAAAAATAAAATTGATATATTTGTTTAAATAATTAAATATACAAAAAAATCTAAAACAATATATAGATTTTCATTTTAAAATTTTAATTCAATTTGTTATGTTCTTTTTATCCTTGGTTTAACGGATCTTAATTAAGCTAATGAAGATATGAACTAAAACGGTAGGGATATTATACTTAACGTACTTCTAATGTCCATTTAAGAACTCCGGGATTAAAAATCATCATTTGCTAATGTTGAAGGACCATTTTTTCAAATTTATTATGTTATAAAATATGGTTATATACTTCTATAATCTCTGTTCTCACTTTTTTCCATTCGTTTTTTATTTGACATTACGAACTTCACGTTTATATTTAAACAAAATCGAAACGGCAAAAAAAAGGGTTATAGTTGAAAATGTCTAAATGATACAGATTTTAGGGTACTTGAGGACACAACAAATATAGAAAAGAAGAATACATGAATATGATATGGAGACATAGTTTAGGAGTACAAGATATAAACTAAAATGTAAATATCATGCAAGTTAACAAAATTATTTCGGGATTCATTGATATAACGACGAGTTTTCGTCGCACTAGATTTGAGGATATTTTCAGACTTCAGTCCTATAACGATGACCAGTTGTGACAACAAAAGTTGAAAATTTCAAATGTATATTGCAATAGATGCCTACAGATACAAAGGTATTGAGTCAAACACCAAATTGACGGCAGTCGTCGCCGTAGACGGATTGTGTTGATTTGGCCCTGCATTGTGGAGGCTTTTGTTGCCGCAATAGGTTTGTTCGTCATAGTGTAAATAGAGGCTAGTGGTGTTCAGAAAAACCGTTGGACCGTTCAAGCCAAGTCAAACCGGACCATTTGGCGACCCGATCCGGTCTGAGAAATAGCCAAATTGTTCCGTCTGATCTGGTCCGTGGTTTGAACATCTTTTTGAGCGGCTTGGACTGAACCAACCGTCAAAAATACACATTTATTAATAATATTTAGTTTTCATGTTGTAGGCTTAACTTTAAGTCTAATGAATATCTGTTTTCATAATTGTATCTATTATTTTCTAACATAAAACATTGGTTATAATTATTTAATTTTATTCATCTTCCATAAATATTTAAATCATAATAAATAAACTTTCATCATTTTCAAAAATATCTTGATTGATTGGTTTATATTCTATGATTTCTATTATATATATGTATATATATATATATATATATAGAGAGAGAGAGAGAGAGAGAGAGAATCATACATACACACATACCTCCACCCACACTTGTATGTGTTAGTGTTTGAATAATATTGTATAGCAAATTAAATTCAAATAAATTAATAAAATTGATACCAAATATATAGAGCTTATAAAAAATGATATCAAAACTGCAACAAAATCAATGAAATTTATAGAAAAATATGCTGAATTTCCAAATTTAGAAGCAAGATTACAAGACAGGAAAGCCAATTTATTTTGGCCTCAAATACATCAATCCACAAATCATACTACATTACTAGAAATTGAATGGTAATTAATAAACCTTATTTTTCCTGATAAAACATTAACCCTCGTATACCTAAACATTTGGTTTTGGTTCAAACCCTTCATCATAAACCGAGCTATTTGGTCTTGGTTCAAACTCTTCATCAAAAGTCTTCTTACCTCCGTCATCATAAACTGAGCTATTTGGTCTTGGTTCAAACTCTTCATCAAAAGTCTTCTTACCTCCATCATCATAAACCGAGCTATTTGGTCTTGGCTCAAACTCTTCTTCAAATGTCTTCTTACTTTTTATATATGCACTGTTATAATCAACCGAGATGTCTGACTTTGGCTCAAACGTCTTCTTACCTTTTAAACTTATACTATCATCATAGACTAAAACATTTGGTCGTGGCTCGAAATCTTTGTTGTTGTCACCTGGACTCACTTCATTGTCATTAACCGAAATATTAGGTCTTTGTTCAAATTCTTCGTGGAAGGACTTTCTGTCTGTTGCCTTCTCCGACACGTGACAATGTCTTTTCTTCATAGGGAGAGGTGTCGTTGAAGTGGCCCGTCGAACAAATGGATCTTGCCTAGCATCAACAGTAGTAGCAATCTGCTCAACAATATAAGAAAAATAAGAGGGTTGAGAAAAACAAGAATAAGACCATAATAGTGTTAGTGTTGTACCATAAATCTGATTATTCATAAATAAAACGATATTCTTTTACCACAATGATTAAAAAGAAAGCCAAGAAACGAAGTGGAGACTCCATCTTTTGATACTACTAATAGTAGACTGGCTTTGGAGGTTTTGATATGTGCAATAGAAGAGTGGTTCGTATTTATAGTACATTTGAGATGCTTCGTTATGATTGATATACGCACACAAAAAATCATTATGGTTCGTTTGGTTTGCATGATTGTTTTTGAGGGATTTGAATTTTACGGATGATTTGAAATAATTGGTATATAAAGTTTTACTGTTATTTTATAATATCACGGGTCTTATAAAAACAGGTTGATGCCATATAAAATCTAAGAATCCTTAATAAAAACCTTAAATATCTAGTTTTCTTAAATTTGAACCAATCTAAACGTGTATCACGTGTAGTTTCCATATACCCATAACTCATTACATTATTGAGAGTGTTTTGTCAGGAATGATGATATACCCTGGTGATATTTATGTATAAGAATGAAATAAATCTTAAAATAGACCGAATATAAAAAATATTACTGTTACATATTTTTGGTGTTTGTAATTAATTAAAGTAACATTCTACAACGTGTGTCAAGGACATATATACGTTTATGGTTTGTGACCTGAAAATGCAGTATGTAGGTCCGTAAGTAAATTAATGGGGAGGTGTTTGCTCTATAACTCTCGATGAAAATATTAATGTGTTTGGGACTTAGGCGAAAGATCGTGTGAGAAAAGGAGTTAAATTGAGAAGCGTGAGAAGAAATCTGGACCCTTGATCATCTTTAATCTCAAACTCACTCATGAATCGTGTTTAATATGAGGATTGATCCGGTGCATCTCATCATAATGTACATCAAATGATGGGAATCTTTTCTTATGCTTCTCACTTTAACTCTCATTCTCACTGAAGTCCAAGACATGGTAATTATTGGGTACCTTGTTGAGATATATATTGCCAACATATATATGCTAGGGACTCTTCATTTAGAAACTATCAAAATTCTACATACAAAGCAATATTAATCGTTCATTTATTCTAATAAACATATGATTTTATTTTGTTTCCTAGTTGATTAAAATTTTTACATTTTACACTTATATAATTAGTTATTTAATTACTTTATACCCCCTTACTTTTTCATTTTACACATTTATTATATTAACACTGGAAGGATACTCGCTCAATGCAGCGAGATAAATTTTTATTTTAGTGTTTAGTTTTTATTATTTGTCTCTATTGTTATAATACGATTTTTTGTGGTTTTGAGAAAGCGTTAATTTTTTATTTTTTGATGAAATATAAATTTGAAGATAGCATAAATTTTTTAAAAAAGAATTGATATTAGTATCAAATTAACAATTTTTTTTTTTGTATAACTTTTTTAATTCAATTTTTTATCATAATTTAATTTAGATTTAATAATAAAGTAATTTATTTTTTGGTTTAATAATATAACATTTTATAAAGCTGTTAGAACTCAATGATTATCYTAATTATATTTTAGATTTTCTATATTTAAAATAAATGTTTATTCTATATTTAATTATTTTTATCTGTAGTTAGTTACACGAATTCAAAATGGAGCTTTAATAAGTTATACTTACGTAAAATTACTTGTAATTTTAAACTTTAAGTAATATGATTTACTAAACAGTACTTCATGCATAAAATATGGTTTTTAAGAGTTTTTATCAAATGTTTTATAATATGGTATAAATATATAATCGTATTTTAACTAAAATAAATAAATAACTACGTTTTTTTTTTTTACAAATTAACCATAATAATCGTCTTATCAATACATTCAAGACGAGCCTAATATTGAATACTTTTTGGTTTTAATCATATTATTAAATATCATGAATACTTACGAATTATTTCAAAACTTACACTTTCTACCCTTATGGTTTTTTATTTAATCTGTAACTGTAAGAGGACAAAATGTAAGTATTAAAAAGAATTCCTAAGTATTTATAATATTAAATATTATAAGATTAAATCTAAAAATATTTAATATTAGCTCATTTTCAACGTATTAACCAGACGATTATAATGGTGTAATTTATAAAAAATAAACATGCTTTTTATGCATTCTAATTAATATACTACGATTATCCGTGTTAATATAATAAATATGTAAAATAAAAAATAAAAAAGTAAATAATATAAAGTAAATTAAATAACTAATTATAAAAATTTAAACTAAAAAATTCTAACAACCCATTTACACAGACTCATATTTAAATTATTTTTTTTCTCTTAAAAATAAACTTTACACAAAACATCTTTTTTTTTAATTTTTTCTTATAAAACTTTGACTATTTAAGAAAAAAAAAAAGGTTTTTAAAATGATTAAAAAAAAGTTAAATCATTTTAATAAATTAAATATATAATTTTTTCTAAGCAAATATATAGTAACTAGAAGGGTACTTGCGCAATGCAATAAAATAAAATCTCGATTTTAATGTTTAGTTTTTATTCTTTGTCTCTATCGATATAATACGATTTTATGTGGTTTTGAGAAAACGGTAATGTTTTTACTTTATTTAAAATATCAATTTGAAGATAACATAAAAATTTATAAAAAATAAATCAATAATAATATCAAATTAACTATTTAATAGTTCTCGWTTTTTTWGTGTAACTTCTYTAATTYACTTTTTTATTATAATTTAATTTAGATTTAATAACAAAGTAATTTATTTTTGGTTTAGTAATATAATTTTTTATAAAAATAATAATTAAACATTATGTTAGAATTCAATGATTATTTTAATTATATTTTAGATTTTTTATATATAAAATAGATGATTATCTTGTATTTGATTATGTTTATCAGCAGTTAGGGGCTGTTTGTTTCCCTCTTAATGGGGACATTAAGAGGGAGCCTCTTAATCGGTCAGAGGTTTGGAGTGTTTGGCACAAAATATGAAACCTCTTAATGGTTACATATACCTCTTAACCATTTTGTGTCAAACCCTTCACTCAACCATTCAGATCTAAATTTTTCCAGATTTGCCCTCTCTACACAGCATTCCTTCACATCGCCTCCCACCCCCCACGATCGCCATCTCCGGTCGCCATCTCCGGTCACCATCTCCGGTCGCCATCTCCGGTCACGATCGCCATCTCCGTCGCCATCTCCGGTCACCGTCGCCATCTCCGGTCACCGTCGCTCTCCCCGTCGTCTCATCCCATTTTTACAGACTCATCTCCCTCCTCCCCATCTTCTACCTTCTCACCATCTTTTCCCCTCCTCTCATCTGCCTTCACCATCCCGTCGCCACCTTATCCACCAAAATCACAGCCCACTTTATCCACCAAAATCACAGCCCACTTTACCCACCAAAATCACAGCCCACTTTACCCACCAAAATCCCTCGTTCAATTCATCGTCGTCGCTTCCCTTCCTTTCAAAATTAAACCCTAAAAAGAAATCGAGTGTACCTGTCGATCTCCTCACAAGACTTCTGGGAAATGGTGTCGTCTTTTGTTAACCATGGCAGTTCTTCTTCAAAGGGGGTATTAAATGATTCTAGGGTTGGATTAATGGAAGCCATTGAAGGGAGTTTGAATCAGAACCCATGTTTTTTTCCAGAGTTTTTAAGTATGAAAAAGATGATTTTGAAGATCAAGAAGAAGAAGGTGTTCATGAGGCTTCCCATGATTTGGATGAAGTTGAATCTAATACGAATAATGGGTTTTTGTTAGATGAGGGTTAAAATGGTAATTTATTGTCATTCAGAGAACAGTTACCAAACAACATTATTTTATTCAGCACTTAACCATTCTGACCCTCTTAACCATTCTGACTTCTTAACTATTTTGCACTAAATCATTCAGCAACTGCCAAACAGCCCCTTAGTTACACGAATTTAAAAATGGAACTTTAATAAGTTGTAGTTACACAAAATTACTTGTAATCTTAAATTTTAAGTAATATACATCAATAAACAATACTTCATGCATAAAAAATATTTTTTAATACTTTTTGTTAAATATTTTATAATATAATATAAATAATTTAAATTAACGTCATTTTTTAAGAAATATATTAAATCATATTTATCCTACATAAAAAAACATATAACTTTTTGGCTCGCGACAAGAAAAAAAATAATTGATGTCGGCTTCCAATCGCAATAATGAAAAACATATCTTTTTTTATAGAACAATGTATTTTTTTATTCCAAACCCAGATTCGAAATCCTATAATTAATATTTAAACTAAAAAATTAATTATTATTGTAATATATATATATATATATATATATATACACACACACACTAGAATGGTACTCTGACAATGCAGCGAGATACATATTTCTTTTAATATTTCGTTTTATTTTTTTGTCTTTTGATATAATATAGTTTATGTGGCTTTGAGAAAGATAATGTTTTTATTTTTAAATAAAAATAAATTTGAAAAAAATATATCGATATTAATATCAAATTAACTATTTAAAAGTTCTTGTTTTTTATATGATTTATTTAACTCATTTTTTATTATAATTTAATTTAGATCAAATAGTGAATTAATTTATTTTTGACTTAACAATAAATTTTTTATAAAGATAATGACTCTGTTAGAACTCGATAATTATCCTAATTATATTTTAGATTTTTATATTTTAAAATGAGATGTTTATCCTCTATTTGATTATGTTTATCCGCCGTTAGTTATACGAATTCAAACATTAACCTTTAATAAGTTGTACTTACTATTTATGCATAATTTACTTGTAATTTTGAATTTTAAGTAATATGCATCAATATACAGTACTTCATGCATAAAAAATGGTTTTTAAGAGTTTTTGTCAAATGCTTTATAATATAGTATATATATATATATATATATATATATATATATATATTTATTATACAATTGATTTTCCTATTAATTAGAAAATAGAAACATTATACAAAAATAAAAATGAAATTAGAGAAATGAATGATTCTGATTTCTATGAGGATTGTATTTAAACTTTATCAGTAAAACCGAAAGTGATACAAAACAGTTGGGCAAAATGAACAAAAGATGAACATTTGAACTCGGTTTGCAACCAACAAAAGGGGTCTAGATGTAACGGTTAGTCCAAGTGAAGGACTAACGACGTCATTATATGAAACTACAAGTCTAGAATGCCACTATGATGAAAAGTGAAGGACTTGATTGTATACATGCCAAACACGCTTGAATAACGAATAGAGTTGTGTAGGAGAAGGAGATGAGAAAATCACAGAAGCAGTTAAGACGGATTCTCAATCCCATATTTTGCTTATTAACAAGAAGTCACAAAAGCCAAAAACAGTCTTCAGTCTGGTCCGTCTATTCCGAACTAGTTGTAGCAAGAAAATCAAGTCTTTTGTGTGATTTTGGAAAAGCAAACACGATGCAAAAGTGACGTCAAAGCTCAAGAAGAAATTATCAAATTAAGGCGTGATTTTGATATAAAAACTTTGTTTTAGTGACGGGTAAATAGCATATGATGTTGGTTTAGTGTTTAAAATGTTAAGACAATCAAGATTGAGGTCGGAAGACTGTTAAATTGATTAAAGATAAAGAATATGATGTTAAATCAATTTTATAGTGTATTACGCATCAAAATAAATCATAATGTTAACTTCTATCGGTAAGCGTTTATCGGGTAAGCAATTGGGTAAACAACCTCTAAGTGTTTGTATGCAAAAAAAAGAAGAAAAGATGGACCAAAAACGAGTGATGTTTTGGAAAAAGCCATTAATGCATATATATCGTTTGCAGCACTACTAAAAGAACTTTTACCGACGGAGATTTTCATTCGAAATGGCTATTTCAACGGATTATGACAAAAACAATCCATGGAAATTTACTAGTCGAAATAAATTTCCTGATAAATTAACATTTTCGACGGAATCCAAAATATTTCGAAAATATATTGCGTCGAAAATCCGTCAGTAAACTATGGAAATCATTTGCAAATAAAAAAATGAATTCCATGGATATTTGATGGATCTACGACGGGAATTTTGCAACGACTTTACGACGAATGATTTCCACGGATTTTTTACTCTTACGATTTTCGACAGTTTTGACGGTGTGCACTGATGGATTTTCGACGATTACTCATTTATGTGTACGTACGTCGCAGGTCATGTATGCATGTATGGATATGTGTATGTCTGTACGTATATATGTGTATTTATGTAGCGAATATCGATCAAAATTTTCAGGATGACACTCTCTACGTTAAATATTTAGTATTTAAGTAAGATAGACATGATACTATTATCACAATATCCAAAGAATTATCAAATCTAATTCTTTCACACATATGACACCAATCACATACTTAAATACACACTTCATATTTTTTTTAAGGATAAAACCTTGAATAACAAATAAAGGACTGATTATTACTATAAACCAGAAGTTCAGCCACGACTTAAAGTCTTCATCAAACATTTTATTGTTGTTTAAACTTGCATTACTAATTATCATAAACCGAGACATTTGGTCTTGGTTCAAAGTCTTTGTCATGCGTCTTCTTGCCTTTTACACCAACACCATCGTCATAAGCAGTGACGCTTGGCCTTGGCTCAAATTCTTCGTCAAATGTCTTCTTACCTTTTAAACCTACACCATTGTCATAAACAGAGATGTTTGGCCTTGGCTCAAACTCTTCGTTAGATGTCTTCTTACCTTTTAAATCAACATCATTGTCATAAACGGAGACGTTTGGCCTTGGCTCAAACTCTTTGTCAAAGGTCTTCGTACCCTTTAAACTTACATCATTGTCATAAGCCGAGATGTTGGGCCTTGGCTCGAATTTTTCGTCAAACGTCTTTTTTCTTTCTGAACCTGCATCATTGTCATAAGCCGAGATGTTGGGCCTTGGCTCAAAGTCTTCCTTAAACGTCTTTTTTCTTTCTGAACCCGCGTCATTGTCATAAGCTGAGATGTTGGGCCTTGGCTCAAATTCTTCATCAAACGTCTTTCTTCTTTTTGAACTCGCATCATTGTCATAAGCTGAGATGTTGGGCCTTGGCTCAAAGTCTTCCTCAAACATCTTCTTATCTTTTAAAGAAGCACCATCATCATAAACCGAGATGTTTGGCCTTGGTTCAAAATCGTTGCTTGAACTATCTTGATTCACATCATTATCATCAACTGAAATATCAGGCCTTGTTTTGAATTCTTCGTTGGAGGACTTTCTATGGCTTCTTGTCTCCGCCAACGTGTGACAATCACTTTTCTTGGTGGGAAGAGGTGACGATGAAGTACCCCTTCGAACAAATGCGTCCTCCCAATATACTTTAGGATTTGGCCTGGCATCTATCGTTATAACAATCTGTTCAAAACAAACACAATATAATAGGTGAGATTACAAAAACAAGTTATGACTAATAACATATAGTTCGTAAATATAATTCTCTCTCTCTCT